AAAGTCGGTGTCGGCGTACAGGCGCCCTCCGTAGTCAGGAAGTGCCCGACTTCCTCCTCTTTCGACGTTGGTTTTCAAGACGTGGACCTCGAGGCATCTCGATCCCTTCCCCATGGCCGTCTTGCTCACCCCGAATATCGGCGGCGAGCCTGGGGGAAAGTGGGCGTGCCTTCTCAGAAGGCTCGGAAGCCCCCCGGCCTTCTGAGAGAAGTTTTCTAAGCCTTCCCCGAACCTTCCCCGAAGGCGCAGAAAACTTCTCAGAAGGCCAGATCGCTTCTGAGAAGCCCCGCCGGCTTCCTGAGAAGGCCTTTTCCTTCTCACTTCCCTCTCTTGCTCACCACCGAACCATCGAGGATAGGTGCTTGACAGGCCCAGTGCCAGGAAAGGGCCCCTCGGGGCCCGCAAGGCCCGAAGGCCGTGCCGCTAGGATGGTTCTGCGAGGCCCAGGCCTGGGGGCTCGTCCTGAGCATGTGCCCGCAGTTCTCGCGCCCCGCGGCCCGGACCCCTCGGGCCGCGATCCCTGCGGCGGGAGTCTCTAGAAGTCAGGGCGCATATCGATTCTTCCGATTCAATTCGATTCGATTTCCATGGCTTTCGATTCTTTCTGATTGGACTCCAGATTCCGATGTGGATCTTGGTTGAGGCCTATTAGCTTCTCGATTTCCGCCGATTCGACTTCTCCCGAAACGGCTGCCGACATCCGCCGATCCGATTAATTTCGATCGTCGATCTGACTCATCGATTCGATTCTGGGCTCGCCTGGAAGTGCTCCGGCCCAAGGTGCCCCCAGGATTTCCAATGGGACTCCCACGGCCTCCAGAGCACCTCTCACGAGGCCCAGAGGGCACCAGGGGCTCCAAAATTGAGCGAAAGCCGGGAGCACCTTGAGCAAGGGGCACTGTTACCAACACTTGACTGCGGGAACCAATTACAACCAATCGGGCGAACAACTCAGCGGGCCTGAATACCAAGTGGTACCAATTATACCCAGCCATCCTAACCCGACAAATAAGGATTCGACGTGTACAGCATCTTGAAACGATTCAAAGATCACATGCACGCCTGGAAGTATACGTTCAGTCTGGGAGACAACATGAATGCCACGGTTGGAATTGGTAGCAGTTCACTATCTGACATTTGGGAGTTGTGTTGTTTTGAAATTGAGCAGGTCTGGTGTATGAGAACTGGACAGGCGTCTTCCAAAAGCCGTTCGAAGAGCCGTGAAGCGCTTCAAGAACCATGCATGCTCCTTTCAGGAGCTTGGCATGAGCCTCTGGGGAGCCCAGCAGGCTCCCGTCTCGAGCTTCCCAGGAGCAGGGGCCTGAAAAGAGACTGTGAGGATGTCGGAGGCTTCCTGGACGGTTCACGGGAGGAGATGGGATCGTTCAGGAATTTTGCCGGGACGTCCCCAGAATGTTGGAAGGATTTGTTCAGCAATTTGTCAGGATCATTCGGACACCCTGGAAGGCTCATCTCAGCAACGTGTAAGGCCCTCAAAGGGATCCTGGAAGGATCGCTCGAGAATCCTGTTAGGATTCCTCGGGTATCTTCCAACGGTCTCTCGGGGATCCTGTATCTCAGGGATCCTGGATGGATCTCTCAAGGATTCTGCAAGGAATTCTCAGGGATCCTGGAAGGATCTCTCAGGGATCCTGGAAAGATCTGTCAGGGATTCTGGACGGATCCCCCTGGAATCCCGAAAATATTCCCAGGGGTCCTGTAGGGATTTCTCAAAGATCTTGCAAGGACCCCTCAGGGATCCTGTACGGATCCCGCAGATGTCATGTATGCATCTCTAAGGGATCCTGTAAGGATCTGCCGGAGGTCCTGCAAGGATCTCGCAGGGATCCTGGAGGGATGTGCCCGGAATCCTGTATGGATCTCGCAGGAATCGCGAACGGATCTCATAGGAATCCTACAAGGATCTCCGACGAATCCTGTGCAAGTAGTCACGCACAGGATCGTGCAAGTAGTCGCGCAGCAAACCCACAAGAATCGTGAAAGGAATGTCAGGAATCCTGGAATATCCCAGGAATCCTGGAAAGAATTTCTGAGTAATCCCACAGTAACCCTGGCAGGTATGCCGAAGGAATCGGGAAGGACCGTCTCAGGAATCCAGATGAATGTCGCAAGAATCTACGAGGAATTCCTCCAGGAATCGTTCAGCAAGCCCAGAGAATGCGTCAGGACTCCTTGAGGAATTCATGCAGAATGCTGGGAGGAATCTTTGAGGAACCTCTACAGGATCTCGCGGCATCTCAGGAACCTGTTAGGAATCCCGGCGAATCTTTGAAGAACCGCCAGAACTCCGGAGCAATCTGTGAGGAGTCTTGAGGGGTCTCTGAAGAACCCCGAAGCATCTTTGACAAAAAACGAGGTACCCTAAGCATTCTGAAGAACCACGAAGAATTCATCAACAGTCGTGAGGAATCCTGATGGACCTCTGCAGAATCACAAGGACATGCTGTGAATAATGAGGATTCCCGAGGAAGCTCAGAAAAGCATGAGGAGCTCTTGAGAACGAGGAGGGATATTTTTAGAAAAAGCACGAGGCATTATGTAAGGAATCTCTGCGAAATCCCGAGGGATCTCGGATGCATATTTGAGAAATATGCAAGACACCCCGAGGGCATCTTTCAGAAAGCGCCAGGAATCCAGAGGAATCTCTCGAGAACCCAAGAGATCTCTCAAGGAACGCGAGGAACCTCGGAAGAACCATGAGGAATCGGGAATAATTTCAAAACATCACAAGGACACCCTGAAGAATCAGGAGGATTCTGAAGGAGTCCTGGAATACTCTTGAGGAGCTTCTAAAAAAACACATGAGGCATCAGCGGAAACCTCTGAGGAATCAGATGGAGTTTTGAAGAATCTGTTTGAGGATTTCCGATTAGTATTTACGGTATGCCGGGGACGCTCTGAATAATCACGATGAGTTTTCGAAGAACCACCCAGGATCTTTGAAGAACCACGAAGGATATTTCAAGAACCACGAGGAACCTGAATGGTGAAGGGATACATGAGGAATCTCTGACAAATCTTCAGAAACCCAGTGGAAATTGTAAGGAGTCCCGAGGCATCTCTGCATACTCACAAGGAGCCCTCAGAAACTTTCAGGAATCCAGGGGAAAATCGGAGGAATCCCTGGGAAATTTGAGCAATCCTGGACAATCTTGAAGAAATTTACGGGTTCCGGAGGAATCCTTTAATAAGCCTTGAGGGATCTTGGAATGTTTCTGAGGAATCCGTAAAGAATCTGGAGGGATCCTTGAGGAACCATTGAGACATATTGAGGAATCCGGGGAAATCCCGAAGGAATTGTTCAGGAATGTCTTAGGAATCCCTAAGGAGTCCTTGAGGAGTACCTTAGGAGTCGTAAGGGGTCCGATGGAGCATCGAAAGAATCCCTGAGGAGTGCGCAGGAACTTCTAATCTCTAAAGAGCTTCCAAAGCGGTTGGAATTCTTACCTTTTGGTTGGGATTGTCACCAACATGGTTGGAATCCGTCCTCATCGTTTGTGATGCGTCCCAGTCCCACCCCCACCCACATGCCGGTGCTCCCGCGCAAACAGTGGCGATCGCAGCGCACCCACGCCCCAACGTGCCCCACCGTGCCCAAGCGTTACCGCTACCTGGGGCCCCAACTCCTCCCCCCAACCCCTGGGGATAGCGACACTGCGAGTGCGAGTGTGAGGAGGAGGAAAAGGATGCAGATTGGGGAGGAAGGGTCGGCGCGGTCTGAGTAATAGCAATATCCCTATCGTGGAACCTGGGGAACGAACCAATCTCGTGGTCTACCTCGGTACCGTCTCGAGGATGTGCCCGAAGTTCTCGCGTGTGCTGTTCTGCATCGTGGGCCTGGCGTCCGTGGCGGGCCTGGCGGCGGCCCACACGACCTGCCCGCAAGCAGGCGCGCCAGAGTGGGAGGGCCAGTGGTGCCAGCACACCAGCGACCTGGTCGGTTGACCACCCTGAGGGCCGGGAGGAGGAGCAGCAGCAGCGGAAGCAGGAGCAGGAGCAGGGAAAAGGAGGAGGAAGAGTAGGAGGGAGGACCCCGAGGGAACAGGAGGAAAAGGATGACGGAGAAGGAGGCGGACAGAGGGGGCAGGGACGAATTCCCTCCCTCCCCTCCTCCCTCCTCCTTCCCCGCTCGTCCCTTCTCCTCCTCCCCTCTCCTCCCTCCTCCTCCCTCCTCCTCCTCCTCCTCCTCCTCCTCCTCCTCCTCCTCCTCCTCCATTCCTTGTTTTTAGTGTCGCACCCCGAGGCCAGTTTTTAGGGCGGGCCGGGATTTCACCTGAGACTTCCTTACCACTTTTGACCCTGAAGCTTCAAAGTGGCAACAGTTTCACAGATGGAGGGCGCGTCGTCTTGAAAATGTGGTTCTGACCTTAGCGCCGCGCACATTCGTTGCAAAAACTGTGCAAGAGTTTCACGGGTTGGGGGGACCCGTTTTCAAAATGTGTCTCTCGCCTTAGCGCCGCGCATATTCGTTTTTGAAAATTGCAAGAGTTTCACGGGTTGAGGCCGGTTCCTATTCAAAATGCAGTTCCCGCCTCAGCGCCACGCTCATTCATTCATACAATTGCAATACTTTCACGTATTCCCATGATCAAAGTAACATACATGGTGTTTTGAAACGACTCAGGATTATGAGGGCGCAGCAGTTACGTTCATTCGCGGTGTTGAAGTCCCAAGAGGTGCGTTCTGGCACGATTCAGAATCGTCAAAACGCAACAGCCAGGTTGATCCGTGGCGATGGAATCCCGAGAAGAATGGTTTGGCATGCTTCAGGGTCTTCAAACTGGTGTCTTCCAACGAGGCAGGTCCCTCAATGGAAATGGACCGTTGTAGGGGAAGTTTGGAGGGAGGGTGTATTCCAATATCGTTGATGACTCTTGGGTTTACACTGTTCCTCTTCCTCATCCTCCTCCTCCTCTTCCTCCCCTTCGATCCGACACTGTGAACAAATAGCAATATCGCGAAAGTCACGACCTGAGCCCCTAAACCCCATCTCTCTGCCGCATCTCTCGAGCCGGGTCGATCCGTGATTGCCCCGGGCCCCGATATGAGGCAGAATCGTTCGTTGTGGCAACAGCGCAACGCCAGGATCCCAGAGTCCTCGTTTGGATCTGGGCATAGTTGGTTCCTCGGCCCCATCGGCACCCTCGGGGGCATTGGCCCACCGACCGCGGCGCCAGCAAGTCCCCGAGCCCGCTGATGGACTTCGGGTTGGTGGTGGGGCTCTGGGCCGCCGTCGCCGTGTGCGGCAACCGCATCAAGCCCTCGACCACGCTCCCGTTCTTGTTCGAGGCCCATGGGAGGGGAGGGAGGAGTGGGAGAGCAGACTCAGGAGATGCTACCTGATCGCGTAGCGATATGAATCCACTTCCGCCGCAACCTCACTGTGGGTTGCCTTTCGTCTTCTGGGCTTTCTCAGCTTTGCTGAGAACTTTGGGCCAGAGTCCCAAACTGATTCGTCTTATATTTTCCTTCCCCGTGGCGGTGGGGTCACTGCAGGGCTCGCCGAACTTACCGAGTAATTGTGTGGCGATCGCCCCGCAGTGAGAGCAAAACCAGATTTTCAGCCCAGCGTGGAACTTTAAACGATGGGTTAAAATAACAAGTCCCCCCGCCACACTTACCTACGTCCCGAGAGGGGGTCTAATATAGATACCATCTACATTGACCAGGTCACACCAATTTTTCTGGAGCTACTGGGTTCCCCGAGCTTTAGTTGAGGAGCTGCATCATCTCGTGCATTTTTGTCCGGTGATATCGACAGTGTAAGACAAGTACAAGAGGGCAAACGAGGCGGGGGTAGGCGGTCCGGCCCTAGCCTTTGGCTTCCGCCTGCGAGCACGGGTGCCGGCAGGTTGGGCCTCGCGGTCAGCCTCTGGAGCCTCGACGCGAGCCCTTAGGATCCTCATCCTGACAACATACCTTCTCTGTTCAATCACCTCATATTGTAGGCAGGCATGCGTTGGAACTCGACATTCAGACGCTGCATATCAAGCACGCTCATCGGCAATTGTGTTCCCATAGGCCAGGGAGCCGCTTACTGTTCCGCTTACAATGTCGTCAGTTGTCAGATGGGATCTGATGCACACAACTGCAATAATACCGTCACGGCCTCTGCCCTGCTCCCGCACCCGACACCAACGTTCGGCGTCGGTTCCAGCGTGATTCTCGACGTGACCGTTGTAGAAGTTGAGGTTCATTCCCTCGCTGTCCGTGAAGTAGGTGCTGTCACCAACCGTGGTGTGCAGCGCTGCCACCAAGGCCATGAGCTCACCCCTTATGACTGTCTGCCTGTGTCCCAGGCAAGGGTTCCCCAGGCGGCTGCCTGGAGGTTCATCCCGTTCGTGTCCAGGACGTGGAGGTTCCCGAATCCGATGCCAATCCTCCGTAGAGGGATGCTGGCGGTGTCGGCTCCTTCGCTGGCGTCTCCGAACACGTAGATAGGCTCGCTTGCGCCGCCACCGAAGCATCCTAGACCATAGCCGTCGGCGCCAACCACTCCCCATTCCTCGCATGCAGGTGGCGGTGGCAATGTTGTCCAGCTCCGTGGGATGACCCCGCGGGTCCAGAAGTATTCGAACATGTGTTGCATGAAGACCGCCTCAGGCAGCAGCGTGCCGGTGGCCTCGTCGATGGTGCAGTCCTGTTGCTGGTTGCACTACCATGTGCGGTGGAAGCATGCGTTCTCCGCCTCTCCGCAGCGCTCGCAGATAGCCTTGCATTCGTTCTTAAGTCTCGCTTGTCGCCACATGGCCCCCGGCAGTGATGGTCAGCATGAGCGCGGCGAGCCTCACCCCGTTGTTTTGATGGTGCGTAGCACCCCGCAATTGCGGATAAAAGTGAGGGGGCGGGCGCGGGCGACGCGGGCGTCGAGCCGGCGGACCTCGTGGGCCTCACCTTCCTTGTCGATGGCGCCCTCCTCCTCCTCCTCCTCCTGCTCCTCCTCCTCCTCCTCCTCTTCCTCGTCCGCGTCCGCGTCCTCGTCCTCATCGTCGTCGTCGTCGTCGTCGTCGTCGTCGTCGTCGTCCGCCTCCGTTCTTGGCTTGTTCAGTGAACGTAGGTTGGGTCGCGGGTGGGTCGCGGGCTCTCCACCTCCATCTGGAAGGAATTAATACACGGCCCGCCGCAGGCGCCGAAAATGTTGATTTGTACACTGAACGCGGTTTGGGTCGCAGGTCCTCCACCTGGAGCGAATGCATAAGAAACCCACCGCAGGCGCCGAAGTTTTGGCTTGTTCAGTGAACGTAGTTTGGGTCGCGGGTGGGTCTCGGGCTCTCCACCTCCACCTGGAAGGAATTCAAAAACAGCCCGCCGCAGGCGCCGAAAATGTTGACTTGTACACTGAACGCGGTTTGGGTCGCGGGTGGGTCGCAGGTCCTCCACCTGGAACGAATGCGAAAGAAGCCCGCCGCAGGCGCCGAACAATTTTGGGTGGGTCGCGGGGGTGGGTGGGTCGCGGGTGGGTCGGGTCGCGGGTGGGTCGCGGTTGGTCGCGGTGGGTCGCAGGTGGGTCACGGGCGGGTCGCTGGGGGGGTCTCGGGGTGGGTCGCGGGCGGGTCGCGGGGTGGGTCGCAGGTGGGTTACGGGCGGGTCGCGGGTGGGTCGCGGGGTGGGTCGCGGGTGGGTCGCGGGGTGGGTCGCGGGTGGGTCGCGGGGTGGGTCGCGGGTGGGTCGCGGGTGGGTCGCGGGGTGGGTCGCGGGTGGGTCGCAGGTGGGTCGCGGGTGGGACGACGATAACAACAAACAACAAAGATCAAACAACAAACATTAAACAACAAACCAACAGCAACATCAACGAGAATCCGCCTCGCGGAATTCTACTTCAGCCACGCACCCAGGGACAACGAATGACCGTTCGGTTCAGCCCCCTCATTCTGATGTAGGTATCGAGGGAGCCTCCGATAAGAATGATTGTCCACTCCATTTTCCATTCTCAATTCCACCTCCGCCGTGATGCAGACTGGTTTATCGCCAGTAGGATTATTGAATATTGTTTTCGATATTTGTAAGCAGCTCGCTGGGAATATCCGCATCGGCGCTGCCCGAACGATGCTCGGTCAAGAACTCCCACGTGTCCGTCTCGGTGGCGAGCGACTGGGGAAGCCTCCATTCTTTGGGCTGGATTGGGTCCCATCCATGCTGGAGGAGGTACACGATGATGGCCGACTGTGGGCCGCGAACATGCCTGACTCGATGTTGGACTGGCATTGCACGGAACCTCTTCACGACCTTGTTCCATGTGAATTGGATGGTCTTCTGCAGCGGTCCCACTAGGATCCAGTGATTGAGCCATGCCTGGACGGCCTCCCTCGGAAACCTTCGGGCAGAGTCTCGGTGCCCAGCCTTCAGGTCGAGGAGTGTAGTCACGCATCGTCCCGTCATCCGTGGGCTGACAGCGTCTCCCCATGTCGGCGAAACAACGTGAGTTGTGTGCCGTAGATGCCGTGAATTCGATGGCCGTAAGATCCCGCAGCATTGCCGCCTTGCTGAGCTAGGCGTCCTGTGACATGACATCTCCGCATGTCCCGTGTGAGCTTGGCGACCTTGCGATGGCTGATGCCATGCTTGGCTCGCCTCGCCGTCGTTGTACCCTTCGCGTGGCGCACTTCAGCTCCAAGGTCAGCTCCCAGGTAGCTGGCCGGGTTCTTGGTCTGGATGTGAGAGCTCTTCTTCGTCATGGCACCTGCGATGTGCCTGGCGTACTCTATGCCCGAGCAGAAGATGACCTGCGTCTTGTCGATGGAGACTGACGCATGCGTCGGTGAAGCACTTGACCATGTGCCTACGGATGGCGCTTTTTGACCCCTGCATTCGTTGCGACAAGTCATGGGTCCACATGCGATGTGTGAGGCCTGCGTGTCTGGTGGGAACTCTCTGAAGCGCCCGTCGCGTCATAATTTTGGTGAACTTTGTTTCCTGACCTGAGCCCTTGGACGACTGATCGAGTAGGTGAGATTGCCTCCGCATAGGTAGCAGTGTGTGGGTGCCCGCGGCGCAGTGCATTGGAGGATCTCAAGGCCCAGGACCTCCGCGGGGAAATCGACGTTGAGCGCATGTTCACCGAGAGTGGCCCGGCCAATAGTTACTATCGCAAACTCGTGAAATATCGAGGAGTCAGCGGCCCTGTGGGATCTGGACATAGGCCGCCAACTCCTAGTGAAGGGGACGTTGGTACGCCTTGTGGAGGGCCGAGTTGCCCTTGGCGGCCGCATCCCAGCGTGCGAACCTGTCCTGGTTCCAACCCTGGACCTCGTCCTGGTGGCACATGGATCACAGCCTGGCTATCTCGGGAAGGAGCCCGATGGTGAGGAGAAGCTGGGTCGGCCGCACCTGCGTCTGCTCGGCGAGACGAACGGCGGCAGCCAACTCCTCGAGCGCCACGTCGGGCATCCCGTGGAGGTCGGTGGGCCGAAGACGGTCGGCGCTCATGGCCGTGGACGCTCGTTGCCGCTTGAGCGCCCTGCGGACGCCTTGTCCCGTGAAGGGCGCCGGTCCTCGTTGCCAAATCCTCTCTCGAACCTGATCGAACAGCTCAGGCATGCCGGCAGTGTCCTGGCCGAGAGCCCACAGCGGACTCCAACATTCCACCTTCCTGTCGGTGGGACCCCTTGGGTGGAAGATGGTGCCGCCCTCGGTCGGGACGGATTCGGCTGGCTGCGGTTGTGGTCGCAGTGACTTTGTAGCGTGCCGATGGTCGACTCGGTAGCGGCCCACTGGCGGAAGTCGCGCAGGGGCTTCCTCATCGCGCGTTGTTGGGCCCGCTCGGCGATGAAGCACGCCCTGCCAGCGTTCGTCACTACGCCGATGTCCGTGGCCGCTTGGATCCTCGCCAGGAGCGTGACCCGCTGCTCCCAGCGGATCCCGTGTTCGTTCTCGAGTGATACCTGCGACCTGGGTCGGGGTGTCGGCTGTGAGCCTGCGGATGGCGGCGTAGAGCTGGTCGGGCTGCCGTCGACCGTTGCCCCTCGCCTTCGTCGGTCGAGGTTCTGCAGGGTGGCATGTAGTCGGGCCCACCACGAGCTGCTGAAATCACGCAATGCCGACCCACGCTTGCTCTGTTGCTCCCGACCTGTGACAACTCGAAACTCGGGGCTCGCTGCTCTCCGGAAATACCAAAGGAAGGCCTGGTTGTGGTGTGCGTGAACGGTGTTCTCGACAGCTGCTGCCTAGGAGCCGTAGAGCTGCCCGATCTGAACGGAGATATCAGGCTTGAGCGAAAAAAGGCTACGGAGCAGGCAGCAGCATTAGCAGGACAAGTGGAGCTGGAGGAAAGCAAGTCATTTTGTTCCCGATGCTAGCACCACATATCGCTAGACATTTCAAAGCCTGGCTGTGGTGATGCATCTGGCGTGGCCGACAGACTCCGCTCCGCGGCATCCTTCAGGCGCGCGGGGTTGATTGCTGATTTAGGAGGCTCCTGCGTGATAGGGCCGACTGGCACATTAGCGGGATGAGGATGTGTTGCGCGGTCGTTCTTTTGGGCGCTGTGGGCTCCAGTAGACGAGCTGACATTGCGAGCTGCCCGGCAAACGCTCTCGTCGGCCCAGGGATGCTCATCCGCGGACCCCTGGCCTCGGTGCGACTCGACATCCTATGTCGGGCCGCCCGCGCAAGTGCAAAGGTCATCGTGGGCGTCGTCACACTTGCCTGTCCACAAATCCCCTACTAAACTGAATCAACCTGCTCCTGCTCCTTCCGCTCGGCGTGCCGCTGCTGTTTCTTCGGCCCTCTTGGTTTTGCCTAAGCTGAACTTAGAGCCTGGGGTCAGGGCCTAGGCGGGTCGGGCGACGCTGGGCAGTCGCCTCGGGAGCTCGATGATACGCGTGAGGAGTTGTTTGTTCCACAGACTGAACAAAATGCATTCTAAGCGCTAGGGGCGGTTTCCACGGAACATCGCGGGCCGTGGTGACAGAATTCTTTACGCTTCGCGTATCCCCACCAGCCCATCTCACAGCAGCAACTCTCGCGAAGCATGCCGACAGTCGTGTTTTTCAGGCGTGTGTCCGCTTGGCCCCGCATATCTCCCCTGTTCTTCCTTCCTTCCGCCTCCTTGTACATCCTCCTTGTGAGGGGAGCGGGAGAAGGACGAGGCGGAGGAGGAGAGAGAGAGAGAAAGCGCTCCTCGTGATTTGAGTCGTTTGGGGTTTCTCGTCCTGGTGTGAGTCATTGGGGCCCTTCTTCCTGGTGTGAGTCGTTCGGGCTCTTCGTGGTGTGAGTCGTTCGGGCTCTGCGTCCTGGTGTGAGTCGTTCGAGCTTCTCGTGGTGTGAGTTGTTCGGGCCCCTCATCCTGGTGTGAGTCGTTCGGGCCCCTCCTCCTGGTGTGACTCGTTCGGGCTCCTCGTGGTGTGAGTCGTTCGGGGCCCGCGTCGTGGTGTGAGTCCTTCGGGCTTCTCGTGGTGTGAGTCGTTCGGGCGCCTCGTCCTGGTGTGAGTCGTTCGGGCCCCTCCTTGTGGTGTGCGTCGTTCGGGCTCTTCGTGGTGTGAGTCGTTCGGGCCCCTCGTCCTGGTGCGAGTCGTTCGGTGACAGAATTGAGGTAGGAGCCGGCAGCTGCGCAGTGAACGACGTAGTCCAAATGCGATGGTTCACGCCCGCCCCCAGGATCTTGCGTTGCGCAATTGACTTTGGCGCACTTGGTTTCTCCCCCAACTTGTTGAAAACATGTCGAGGTCTAAAGCTTGAGTGGAGACGTTCCAGTCCCCGATCACAGCCCAGGGGAGCTTGAGGGGTCTCAAGAGGCTGCCGAGTCGTCTAAAACGAGACATGTTGGGTCCAGTGAGCCCCATGCTGCTAACTCCGCTAGAGAGAGTGACTACTAACGAGTCTCCCGAACCATGTAAACATATCAGCAAGAGACTGTCGAGGCTGCTAGATGGGCGCGCTTGCAGCGGCACTGACTGGATTATCTCATGCAGAACGCGTTTGCAAACGACCTTTGGCTAAGAACCATTCTCCTCCATCATTGGCGTGACCTGCGGACCCAGTGACATTTGTGTGAATCAGGGTGCACCCTTCAGGCTCGGACTGTCGTGTCGGGTGGGCGTGGTTACACATGAGCCGCTTGCATTGAGCGCGCGCGCGAGATCGCCAGCAGCCCGCGCCAGCTGCTCCAATGCGCGTCTCAACCAGGCCGATGTAGTCCCCACTGCAACCTGATAGGTATTCCCAGCACTTATCGTCCATGCAGCTGGCGCTGCTGTAGAGAAGCGAATTTGGTGGACTTGGCATGGCACTGCGGTCAGCTGCGACCGTGCTGGCCTGACCGCCACGGGTTGAACTGGGTCGAGATCCATTCGTGAGGCGGCAGGCGAGGCTGGATGAGCTGCACGATCGCGATTTTTGCCGCTCGTGCCACCAGCGGCTGATTCGCGGGTGGCCTCTGCCTTCAGGGCCTCCGCCTTGGCCTCGGCCTGGGCTGTAGCCTCGGGGTTGCCCGCGGGTGGGGCGCCCTCGGCCGACGACGCCGCCCCTGCGTTCCCGCCACCCTGGCCAGCACCGTCTCCGCCACCGCCAGCGCCACCACCTGCGGCTGAGGCAGCACGGTGCTGCCGTCATCGCCCTTACTCTTCTTCTGGTGCCCTATCTGCTGGGCGGCCCTCACTTTGTGCGCCCGCTCGATGAGGACCTGGACCTGCGGCTCCGTGGAGCTGAACTGCTGATTACTTGAGCTCCTCGAGCCCATTCGTCACGGCGTTGAGCTCGTGTTGCTCCCCATCCTCGAAGTCGAGCTCCTCGATCTCCTCGAACCGTTTCGAGTCCCACGTCTTCGCAAACACAACTCGCGCCCTCTTCTGTGGCCAGCGCCTCGGCAGTTTTCTTCTTGGCTGGTTCGGTCTTGGCGACCTGAATGGTTGCTTCCGTTTTCTTCTCCTGCGCCGCCTCGAGGTTCTGGCGTGGTATGATCACATAGTTGACCAGTTGAGTGTGACGGTTGACCTTAGCATGCCAGGCGCCGTTGGCCAAGCGCACGGACTCGACCACCGTAATTTGCGATTGGATGGACTCGCCGGTGTCGTCAAGGCGCGCATCTGCGCCTTGTTGATGCCTTCTGTGCGTGGGTCCTCCGCGGCGGCGAGCACTTGGCGTAAGTGCGAAGCCAGACTCCAGACTGCCTCCCCGACGACCTCGCGAAGCGGCGTGGCCTCTGCGCGCGGCCCCGTCGTCGTGGCTGATCACCTCGGCCTTGTCCTCCATGCGCACGGCGCTGGTGCTGGGAGAGCGCCAGCGGCCACGAGGCAAACGAATGGGAAGATTGCAGCGTGGGCATGTCGGCTTCTCCTGATCGAGCCGATCATTGTACTCACGCGCGTTGCATCTGTTGCATCGGCTCCACATCCGAGTGACGGTGGGACGTCGTCCTGGAGCTGTCATGAACTCAGTTTTGGTTGACCCCAAGAGCGATGACGAGACTTGTCACTGCAGCGCGGAAATCCCTCAAGCACCACGTGGAGATACTGGTCTGCTCAGGTGTGCAAAATGCGCCTGGACCAGAATGGCCTGAGGGAGGCGAGGAAAAGGAGGAGGAGAAGGAGGAGGACGCGGTCGATGAGGAGGAGGAGGAGGATGGGGGATGGGGGAATGGGGGAGGGCCAGGGGAGGAGGAGGAGGAGGAGGAGGAGAGGTGGAGGAGGGGGAGGAGTAGGGGGTGCAGGGGGAGGAGGTGTAGGGGGGTGGGAGGAGAGCAAGAGGATGGCGAACAGAGAGGGGGAGGAGGACCGAGGAGGAGGGAAGGAGGGTCAGTGCAATCCCAAGACACACCCTCTCAAGTTCCTCCTCGTGGCTCGCTGAAAGAATTGAATTTCTTCGCGGGAAGTGGCCCAACGAAAGGCAATCGTTTGATAATCCTGAATCGTGCCAAGGCGCCATTCCTGGGACTTCGACGCCGCGAATCAACGTGACTGGTTTGTCCTGGCAGTTGTAAGCTGTGCCAGAACGTGGCTCCTGTGACTTCAGCACCGCTAATCAACGTGACGCCAGTCCTGGGATTTCAACACCGCGAATCAGCGTGACTGCTGCGCCTCGACAAACTTAACTTGTGCCAGTTCTGGGTGCTTCAGCCTACGAATCCCTAAACCGTTTGCAAACGTTTAAGACGAATGTGCGCGGCGCTAAAGCGAGAACCACATTTTGAAACGTAACCGCCCTCCTTGCACGCCTCAGGATCAAACATAGTGAGGAAGTCTCAGGCGTAACGCCGGGCCAGCTCTACCGACGCGCCTGGTGGTGCGACAGGGAGGAGGTATGTATGTGGAAAAGGGAAGGGCATGATGTCTTCCCCTCCTCCCACCAAACAGAAGGCGACGATCCAGAGAAACCCGCCTCACCGTCGCAATATTTACAGGGAAGTGCTATCAGGACCACCGCTTTAATAATCCCCTCTCATAGCTGTCGAAAGTTGATCATGGCCAGCGCCCATGGGCAAGTGCACAAGGCTTTGCACGATGAGCACGACATGCGCAATGCCACTGCCAGCAATGGCTCCCATCGCCGGGAGAGTTCGAGCTGAAACGGGAGTAGGGTCGTCTCGTCTGTAAGTGGCGTGAGGTGGCGAGTTTGCAGAAGAAGGCGCAAGGTAGGCCCACTCCCCAGCGGCCACCAGCACTGCCCCATGCAATCGCAGCCGCTTGGCTCGGTGAGAGTCCAGCAGGCATACTTCAAGTTTACGGAACTCATCGACGCAAGGGTGATCCAAGTGTACTCCTGTGCTGCCGTCCGCGGATGTCAAAGGCATCTATTGTTTTATGTTTTCCCGTTCTCGCTGGCGTAGCGACGGAAGGGCGACGGAGCTGCCGACGAGCCCTCTGCGAGGAGGATGAGGAGGACGAGGATGAGGAGGACGAGGACGAGGACGACGGTAGCGAGGCAAACTCGGAGATCTCCGACGGCAAGAAGCCCGCCAGGGCCTTGTCGTCGTGCGCCAAGTGCATGCACCCGTGAGGACGCCTTCCGCCCCCTCGAGGCGGATAATGACGACGACGGGGCGAATTAGGAGAAGTCGGACGGCCAGAAGCCCGCCAGGGCCCCGTCGTCGTCCTCCAGGCGCCTGCGCCCGTGGGGAGGCCCTCCACAGCCCCCGCGGCTTGCGCCGCGCCTCCCGCTGCCCCCTTCCCCACTGCCTCTGGGCTCTGCTCCTCGCCCCCTCGACCTCTCGCCCACAGCTCGAGGCCGGCCAAGAGGGGGGTGACGACTACCAGGGCTCCAGGGCCGGGGGGCAGTGCCAACGGGAGTCAGCTAGAGCGCGGTATCTTGCAGGAGCCTGCAGGGCCAGGGCCGCTCTGGCCCAGGTTTTGGCGCAGGATCCTGCAGTATCCTGCAAAGCCTGACCGAGCTGGGTCTGGATTGACCCGGGTCAGTAGAGCCTCGAGATTGGGGGGGTATCATGGCGGAGGCCATGATGTCCTCCCCGATGTCATGACCCCTGTTCTTATTCTAGACTCACGGCGAGCCTGGGGGGGAAGTGAGACGTGGCGGGCCTTCTCAGAAGGATCGGAAGTCCCCTGGCCTTCTTAGAAGTTGTCTGAGCCTTCCCCGAAGATCAAATGATCCCAGTGCGACCCTACCTAGGAGTTGGAGCATCTAGGAAAGTAATATCTACATCTACACCGACAGCTACATTAACATCTACACCTGCATGTACATCTACAGCAACATCAACAGCGAGACTCACATCTACATATACTAGAACCACGCGCGCGCTTCGCGCGCGCTTAGGTTCTGTCGAGTCACAGACCCAGGAATCGTTGCGAGAAGAAATTGGTGACGCGAAGCGTCTTGGGGGCGTCCTTGGACGTCTGGGGTCTCCTGGGGCCTCTTGAGGGGCCTCCTCGGGGCCTTCTTGGGCTCCATCTGGAAGCCAAGATGGATGCAACAAGAGGGTGCTTGTGCTCTCCGTGAGCTATCCTCTGGTTTTCATTCCCCTGGAGAGGAGAAGGAGGAGGAGGAGGAGGAGGAGGAGGAGGAGGAGGAGGAGGAGGAGGATGAGAAGGAGGAGGAGGAGGAACATGCAGAGGAGGGAGGAGGAGGAAGGAGAGGAGATGTTGGGGCGCTCTTGGGGCCCTCTTGGGCTCTCTTGGGGCTCGTCGGGGCCCTCGTGGGGCCACCTTGGGCTCCTCTCGGAGCTCCAAGAGGAGCCCACAGAGGGGCCCAACATCGGTCACGCGAGAGCTCTTTCGCGTGACCGATGTTGGGGCCCTCTTGGGGCCCTATTGGGCCTCCTTGGGCCCTCTTGGGGTCTCGACGGGGCCCTCGTGGGGCCATCTTGGGCTCCTCTCGGAGCACCAAGAGGTGCCCAAAGAAGGGGCCCAACATCGGTCACGCGAGAGCTCGTCCGCGTGACCGATGTTGGGGCCATCTTGGGGTTCCTTGGGCCTCCTTGGGCCCACGTGGGGCTCCCTCGGGGCCCTCGTGGGGCCATCTTGGGCCCCTCTTGGAGCTCCAAGAGGAGCCCAAAGAGGGGCTCAACATCGGTCACGCGAGGGCTCTTCCGCGTGACCTATGCTGGGGCTCTCTTGGGTCCCTCTTGGGCCTGCTTGGGTCCTCTTGGGGTCTCGTCGGGGCCCTCGTGGGGCCATCTTTGGCTCCTCTCGGAGCTCCAAGAGGAGCCCACAGAGGGGCCCAACATCGGTCACGCGAGAGCTCTTCCGCGTGACCGATGTTGGGGCTCTCTTGGGGCTCTCTTGGGTCCCTCTTGGGCCTCCTTGGGCCCACGTGGGGTTCCCTCTGGGCCCCCTCTTGGGCCCGTCTTGGGGCCCTCTTGGGCCATCTTGGGCGCCTCTTGGGCCGTCTTGGGGCCCTCTTGGGCTGTCCTGGGGCCCTCTTGGAAGCTTCTTGGGCCGTCTTGGGGCGGTCTTGGGCGCCTCTTGGGCCGTCCTGTAACGTCGGAAAACCCAAAAGACAACTTTGTTGAAAATGTACGTTTTACGAAGGGAATGGGCCAATTCTTGCGTCTAGGGGCCCTCTTGGGACGCATGTTGGAGGCTTCTTGGGGCCTCTTGGGGGCGTCCTTGGACGTCTGGGGTCTCCTGGGGCCTCTTGAGGGGCCTCCTGGGGGCCTCCTGGCGGCCTCTTGGGGCGGAAGGCTCGAGCTTGCGGTTCGTGGTCCCCCTCTGGGCCCCCTCTTGGGCCCGTCTTGGGGCCCTCTTGGGCCATCTTGGGCGCCTCTTGGGCCGTCTTGGGGCCCTCTTGGGCTGTCCTGGGGCCCTCTTGGAAGCTTCTTGGGCCGTCTTGGGGCGGTCTTGGGCGCCTCTTGGGCCGTCCTGTAACGTCGGAAAGCCCAAAAGACAACTTTGTTGAAAATGTACGTTTTACGAAGGGAATGGGCAATTTTTGCGTCTAGGGGCCCTCTTGGGACGCATGTTGGAGGCTTCTTGGGGCCTCTTGGGGGCGTCCTTGGACGTCTGGAGGCCATCTTCAGCATCTCGGAGCCCTCTTGGAGGCCTCTTGGAAGTTTCTTGGGCCGTCTTGGGCGCTTCTTGGGCCGTCTTGTCTGACTGGGGAGGCCTCCGGCAAGCCCCGACGAGCCCCCGGGCCCCCCGGGGTGCACATTTGCGGTCGAGGTCCCGGCCCTGGGCCCCCGGACCCGGTGCGCCGTTATATGTATACATGTGCACCTACCTCTACACCTACATCTACATCTAAATCTGCATCTACATATACATCTACATATACACCTACCTACACATCTACACCTACACCTACATCTACATCTACATATACACTTTCGCATTGGTGTTGCGTTTGCGTTGCATTGTATTGCCTTTGCTTTCGCGTGTGTGTGTGTGTGTTGTTGATGTTGCTTTGTGTTTATGTGTTGTCGTTGCTTGATTGTGTTGTTGTTATGATATGCTATGCTGTGCTCTGCTAAGCTATGCTATGCTATGCTGTGTTATGCTATGCTGTGCTGTGCTATGATATGAGATGCTGCGCTATGCTATGTTGGGCAATGATATGATATGGTCTGCTATGCTATGCTAATGCTGCGCTAAGCTAGGCTAAGCAGAGCTAAGCTAAGCTAGGCTAAGCTAAGCTAGGCTAGGCTAGGCTAGGCTAAGCTAAGTTAAGCTACGCTAAGCTAAGTTAAGCTAGGCTCAGCTAAGATGAGATAAACACAGCTAAGCTAAGGGAGCGCAGCTGGGGGAACCGCGGGGCGGATACTCGGGGAACCGCCCGGGGCTGTGTGCACTGCCCGGCCCCTTTAAGAAAGAGGGAAAGAACCCTTTAGGCAGAGCCTAGGTAGGAAACAACCCCTCAGAAGGCCAGAGGGCTTCTGAGAAGCCCCGCCGCCTTCTGAGAAGGCTTTCTCCTTCTCACTTCCCCACCTCGCTCGCCGCCGTCATGGCGGGGGGCATGATCTCTCCCCCGATGTCATGACCCCTCGTCTGATTATAGTCGCTTCCTGTCACCCCACCAGCCCATCCAGAAACGATGCCCAGGCGAGTTGCCCCGATCAGGGATGTGGAGGAGCACGCAGTGGAGTGAAGGGCTGGGTGAGACGTGCTACCCCAAGAGAGGGAAGGAAGGCTGGAGGAGGAATCGGAGGAGGAGGACGAAGAGGAGGAGGAGGAGGAGGGAAAGGGGGAGGGGGAAGACGGAGGAGGAAGGAGAAGGAACAGGCGGATGAGAAAGAGGAGGAGGATGAGGAGGGCGAACAAACCGGCCAGAAGTCTCCTGGATGCCTCTCGGAGTCTCTGCGGATTTCTTCAGAGAGCTTCGTGGAGTCCTCTTGGGGTGTCTTGGGAGTCGTGCCTCTGGGGGACCGCCCGGGGCCTCTTGGGGGGTTCTTGGGAGCCTCTTGGGGGCACCTTGGGGGCCTCCTCTTGGGGCCTCCTGGGCACCTCTCGGGGCCGTCCTCGGGCGTGGGGGCCGTAGTACATGAGTACACCCCGCCAGGAGGCCAACATGTGGCCAACACCTGAGTAGCATCAGTGACTTTGGCCTTCTCGCCGAGGCCTCCTGTGGCGTCTTGGGTGCCTCTGGGGGGCCTCTTGGAGCTTCTCGGGGGTCTCTTGGGAGCCTCTTGGGGGCGTGTTGGGCGCCTCTTCTGGCCTGGGCGCCTTTTGGGGCTGTCTCGGGGCACCCTCTAGAGCCTCGGAGACCATCTTGGGGCCATCTTGGAAGATAACCATCAAAGGAGGGGGGGGCCATTAATTCGGGCCCCCCTTCGGAGGACAACATGTAGAAGGTCGATCGAAGGACGGGCACTCCCCAATTAGTCCCCTCCTTCCAGGAGGCCAACATGTGGCCAACCTGGGTAAAGTCGATGGTTTGAGCTTCTTCTCCGAGGCCATCTTCTTGGACGCTCCAGCGACCCGCGGAACGCCCCCTCCAGACCTAGGGGGAGGAGGTAGGCGAAAGGGTCAAGACCCCCTCTCCGCCCGCAAGCCGTCTCGCTCACTCTCACCCGCCCTCCCAATACATAGTAGCTCCCGAGTCGCAGCGTGTTCAGCGGTAGTCTTTGGATGGACAGCTACTGGGAACCAAAAAACGACCCCATGTGCGCAATGTTGGGGCGAGGTGCGCCAGGCGTGCCAGGCGCGCCAGAAGCGCCGGGTACCCATGTGGCCCAAACGTGCTGGGCACGCCTGGTGCGCCACATGATCCACGTGCGCCACGTGTGCCGCATGCTGCAGCCGCGCCAGGTGCGCCACGTTCGGGGCACGCAAAGGGTGTGCCAGGCGCGCCTGCGCACGTGGCAGTCCACATCGGGAAACGTTGCGACCCCGACCACCCTTAGCGAAAATCAGTGTGCAATCGCGGCGGGGTGGCCATCATAGCGTTTGGTCGGCCTGCACATAGCAGGCAGTATGCCAGCACCCCCGTCGCCCAAGTCAAAAACCAATGCACAGTGATCGAGGGGTGCCCGCGCATGATCCAGATTTTCTCTCGAAGTGCATTTTGCATTGTTTTTTATTAAGTGGGTGCTGGCCCTACACGCAGCAGGCAATATGCGCCCCTCCCCGCCGTGCCTGTCAAAAAAACAATACGAGTGGTCGCAGCCCCCCAGATCATGACCATGATTTTGCCCCAAAGTGGAGTTCTCATCATTGTTGATAGGGGTGGTGGGGGGGAGGGTGCCCGCATTGGTCCTGATTGGCTGCCGGGCGCCTGGTGGAGATGGTGTGTCCTA